TTCCCCACATGAGCTGCTGCAAGCACCAGCAGCCCCCACCCCAGAGCCCAGCCCCTCACCTTTGTTTTGGTCCAAGAACTCCTCTGTGAAGATGGGCACGTCGAAGGTGGAAAAGGTGTCACTGCACTCACCAGCCTGGGGGACGGATCAGGCAGGGCTGAGCACACCCAAGGGGACCCCATTTCCTTGGGGCTGGGCAGACAGAAGGCACAGGGACAGGGGTGCCTCAGCTTCCCACACACACAGGCAGACCTGCTGGGGCCTTACCTTGTGTGGGTGCCCATTCAGCAAGGTGTTTGCTGCTGCAGAGCCCATGTCCTCTGGAAAAGAGGGAGAAGGTTCCCCCTAAGCACCAGCCCAGCAGCCCGCAGAGGCTCTGGCAGCACTCAGCCAGGTCCCGACAGTGCCTCCAGCAGCTACTGCTCCCCAAACCCACCTTTTTTGATCTTTTTCTCCTGGATCTTCTCCGTGCACATCTTGTAGGCTTCTGACTGCTGGTATTCCCGCAGCTCCTTCATGTACTGCTGCTTCTCCCGCTCTGCTTCGTCCAGGTACCGCTGTGGGCACAGAGGGGCCTCAGCCTGGCCCCGGGCTCCCAGGGAGCTGCTTGACCCCCTTCCCCACTACTCGAGGCTTCTGCTGCCCACCCCACCAGTACTGGGACAAGCAAGCAGAGGGGCTTGGGGTGGAGGCCAGAACCTGCTTCTCTGAGAGCTGCAGCTTGCTCCACTCAGCCCCCAGCATCTTGGTGATCTCCGGGAAGGGCAGGTCAGGGTGCTGCATGCGGATCTGCTCACGCCGCTCGTTCAGGAAGCGCACGTAGCCTGTCACCGGGGCTTTAGGGCCGTTAGGAAGGATCTTCTTCCTCTTCTTGCCCTTGGGCCAACCTCTCTTCTTCACTGGCTGACACCCAGTAAAGGGAAAGGAACAAGGCGTCATGGATCAGAGCACATGATGCCATCACACCACAGGACACAAACAGTGTGCAGAGCCTCCTGGGCTCCCATCCCATGAGGAACAGACAAGGACCCCTGGAGGGTCACTTGGCTGTGCCCAGGCTGCTGAAAGGTGAGTGGAGGCACAGCCCCAGGCTGGGCAACCTGTGTGGGGAAGGATGAAGGCACCAAAACTTACCTCCTCTTCACCGTGTGGCTTCTCACCACTGGCCCGTGCCGCCTCTCCCTTCTCCTGCTTGATGGGCACCAGGAAGTTTCCATGCTGAGCTTTGCCCGTGGCATGCCTGCAGCCAGAAAGTGCCCATCAGAAAGGGCTGGGGAACTGCTGGGACCAACACCTTCCCCA